TGAAAAGCACTGTTTATTTTATTTGTCTTTGCACTCTTGTATTTGTTTGAGCTGTAGCTTGTAGTTAGAGTATTTGTTCTTATTATTTGACAGCATAGTTATTTTTTTCCTAAACACAGCACATACCGAACCGTTATGAAACAGTGACTCTAAAACCATGATACAAACCGAACCGTGAGAAATTTGAACCATTGCACCCCTAATGTTTACCTCTACTAGAATGAAATCGGGCTGGACGGTATATCGAGTTTGTATGAAATATCGATATATATATTTTTACAAGCGATATGGTATGAGGCAATACCGTTTATATCGATATACAGTCTTCTGACACGAGCGCATCTGAAAAATGTAGCGGAGGACACAGAGTGAGCTGCTGCAGAGAGGCAAACTTAATATGAAGGGCTTTAAAAACTTGTAAGATATAGTATAGTTTTTCCACCTTTTTCCTACGCCCCATGACGCTCTGTGTAAATTATAGGAGTAACTTCCTTTTACACTGTAAACAATCAGCAAAAGGTTCGCTCTATGAACGCAATAAGCATTTTCAAAAACTGGGTACCAAGGTTATAATAGTTTTGCATTTTTAAATTCGTTTTATTTTAATATCGTTTTCAAATTTGCAATAAAATTCAGTTTAGTTTTTATTAGTTTCATTAATCATTTTGTTAGTTTTTTTTGTGAACACATTTCTGTTTAGTTTTTATATAGTTTAGTTTCAGTTTTAGATTTTGTTTCGATTTAAAGTTTAGCAGAATTAACAATAGTATTTACGCTGTCATTTGCAGGGTCAGGGCGGGTACAGAATTAAATTAGTTCTTCTGTCGGATAACGGATCGGTTGTTCTTTTAAGCACTGCGGGTTAGGGGTGGGAATCACCAGAGGCCCCACGATACAATATTATCACGATACAATTTAAAAAGTATTGCGATATTCTGCGATATATTGCAATTGAATACCTTTTTCCAAATTCAAATTATGTCCCCAAATGAAAACTTTGGCAACATCTGTTTTAACTAAAAATAAAAAAAATTCAGTTAAATATTATTGCTGCAATGCAAAATTGGATTGTGAAGCAGACAAACTGACCAACACTTTCATGAAAACCTGTCATAAATGATGTATGCACTTGGCAAACTCAACTATTTGTATTACAGTCTAGTCTAGTCCACCTTAATTAAATTTAAACAGGTATGCACTGCTGTGCTACTATAGGTATTTTGAACAATGTAACTTGAACTTGTACAAAAAAGTTGTGCAGACCCTTCAGCCATTGGGGCATTTGAAAGTAAATTACTGTTAAATTTAAAATAAATAAAACATAGTCTTAAATTTAATTTGCGGACAGGGCTTTCCTGATAACGTTCCGTGATGCCGCCATCTTTATTGTACTAACTTACTGCATGCTTAAAGGAACACTCCACTGTTTTTGAAAATAGGCTAATTTTCCAACTGCCCTAGAGTTAAACAGTTGAGTTTTACCGTTTTCGAATCCATTCAGCCGATCTCTTAGCTGTAGCTTAGCATAGATCATTGAATCTGATTAGACCGTTAGCATCTCGCTCAAAAATGACCAAAGAGTTTCGATATTTTTCCTATTTAAAACTTGACTCTTCTGTAGTTACATCGTGTACTAAGACCGACGGAAAATGAAAAAGTTGCGATTTTCTAGGCCGATATGGCTAGGAACTATACTCTCATTCCGGCGTAATAATCAAGGAACTTTGCTACCGATATTACGCAGCGCCTGACAATAACGCTAACTTCCGTCAACATAACCAATGTGACCCCCTGCTTGCACAGGGAGCGTGCTGGGGACTATTTTCAGGCGCTGCGTAAAATCATTGCGCCTGCTGCACCCATGGTACGGCAGCAAGGTTCCTTGATTATTAAGCCCGTCATTTTTGAGCGAGATGCAAACGGTCTAATCAGATTCAATGATCTATGCTAAGCTACATCTAAAAGTGCTACCGCCAGACCCAGAGATCGGCTGAATGGATTCGAAAACGGTAAAACTCAACTGTTTAACTCTAGGGCAGTTGGAAAATTAGCCTATTTTCAAAAACAGTGGAGTGTTCCTTTAAGCATGCAGTAAGTTAGTACAATAAAGATGGCGGCATCACGGAACGTTATCAGGAAAGCCCTGTCCGCAAATTAAATTTAAGACTATGTTTTATTTATTTTAAATTTAACAGTAATTTACTTTCAAATGCCCCAATGGCTGAAGGGTCTGCACAACTTTTTTGTACAAGTTCAAGTTACATTGTTCAAAATACCTATAGTAGCACAGCAGTGCATACCTGTTTAAATTTAATTAAGGTGGACTAGACTAGACTGTAATACAAATAGTTGAGTTTGCCAAGTGCATACATCATTTATGACAGGTTTTCATGAAAGTGTTGGTCAGTTTGTCTGCTTCACAATCCAATTTTGCATTGCAGCAATAATATTTAACTGAATTTTTTTTATTTTTAGTTAAAACAGATGTTGCCAAAGTTTTCATTTGGGGACATAATTTGAATTTGGAAAAAGGTATTCAATTGCAATATATCGCAGAATATCGCAATACTTTTTAAATTGTATCGTGATAATATTGTATCGTGGGGCCTCTGGTGATTCCCACCCCTAACCCGCAGTGCTTAAAAGAACAACCGATCCGTTATCCGACAGAAGAACTAATTTAATTCTGTACCCGCCCTGACCCTGCAAATGACAGCGTAAATACTATTGTTAATTCTGCTAAACTTTAAATCGAAACAAAATCTAAAACTGAAACTAAACTATATAAAAACTAAACAGAAATGTGTTCACAAAAAAAACTAACAAAATGATTAATGAAACTAATAAAAACTAAACTGAATTTTATTGCAAATTTGAAAACGATATTAAAATAAAACGAATTTAAAAATGCAAAACTATTATAACCTTGGTACCCAGTTTTTGAAAATGCTTATTGCGTTCATAGAGCGAACCTTTTGCTGATTGTTTACAGTGTAAAAGGAAGTTACTCCTATAATTTACACAGAGCGTCATGGGGCGTAGGAAAAAGGTGGAAAAACTATACTATATCTTACAAGTTTTTAAAGCCCTTCATATTAAGTTTGCCTCTCTGCAGCAGCTCACTCTGTGTCCTCCGCTACATTTTTCAGATGCGCTCGTGTCAGAAGACTGTATATCGATATAAACGGTATTGCCTCATACCATATCGCTTGTAAAAATATATATATCGATATTTCATACAAACTCGATATACCGTCCAGCCCGATTTCATTCTAGTAGAGGTAAACATTAGGGGTGCAATGGTTCAAATTTCTCACGGTTCGGTTTGTATCATGGTTTTAGAGTCACTGTTTCATAACGGTTCGGTATGTGCTGTGTTTAGGAAAAAAATAACTATGCTGTCAAATAATAAGAACAAATACTCTAACTACAAGCTACAGCTCAAACAAATACAAGAGTGCAAAGACAAATAAAATAAACAGTGCTTTTCAACAGTGGTTTTTTTTAGGTAGGTCTAACATTAGTTTTTAGGCCCAGAAATTTTATAACGTAATCAAATGTAAAATAACATTGCATATTTAACTATGAATTAAAGGTTATTTCCTTATTAAAGTAACAAAAGCTATTCAATCAAGAGCAGTGAGTGATTTCCTCGTCTTTTGTTGTTTGATTAAGATATAAAAAGTGCTGTCACTTTAAGATAATGCACGGATCCAGTGCGTTCAACCAACTACGTCTGCTAGGATACTCTTCAAGACAGGCATTTTTACATAATTTTTGTGTGAATTTGTCCATTCAAGCTCAAGACTCGAAAACTAACTCAATATTTGCCTGCTTCAGATGAGCGCGCACACAAATCTTCTCACTGCGCACACAAGTTCTCAGTCACGTCTTCTTGCTCTTGAAAGTTCAAAATGGCAAGGATTACACGAGTTTAGTTTAAACACAGATAGCATGTGCGGTTCATGTCTCACCTGTGCACTCATGCTATCAACACCTGGCTGATGACAGCATAAATGACCGGTCATATTCCAGCATACGGCACTCACGTTGAACAAAGAGTGACTGGTTTGTCCACGTTTTTTGTTTTATGTTAATGTATTGCGAAGCCAGAACGCATTATCCATCAACAAAAACATACATTAGCCGAACTCTGTTTTACGTGTTGTTATTTTTAACAAACCATATTACAGATGCATTGTCAGATCTAAGTTACTTCCCTAAGTTACACCCCTAGTAAACACTAAGTTACTTACAAAGGCTGGAGAGTGAGCTGCAGTGGTCTCGTCAGTACTAAGGTTGATGTGGGCTAGGATGGTAGGCACTATGTCGTTATCTGCCTCTGGGTCACTCTGGTACGCCACATCGTCCTCATCTGGGTCAGACTGGCCAGGCTGGATCACCTCTTCCTCTGGAATGGGTCCATCCTTGGAGATGTCACTGAGGGAGAAAGGACCAGATTCTCCTGTGCTTTGGCTGAAGAGGTATTCCAAACCAAGCAACTCATTCGACGTCACATTAGCAGGTGCGTGGATATTCTCCTCTACAGTCTCTCCAAACAGCTGCTGACATCGGGTGTTGAGGCGATCAATCAGAGGGGCAGAGTATGCTCTGTGGCGTTGACCTTTGCCACCGAACACAGCATCAGAACTGCAGCCTGAATTCCAGCGAGCGATTCCACTAATCAGGTAAACCTGACAGGGACGTGCTGCACAGTGAGGACCTTTAAAAAAAAAATAATTAAAGGGTTAGATCACCCAAAAATAAAAAAATTCTGTCATTAATTACTCACTCTCATGTCGTTCCAAACTCGTAAGACCTCCGTTCATCTTCGGAACACAGATTAAGATATTTTTGATGGAATCTGAGAGCTGTCCGACCCTCCCATAGACAGCAAGGGAACTACCACGATCAACGCACAGAAACGTAGCAAGGACATCGGTAAAATAGTTCATGTGACATCAGGGGTTCAAACGTAATTTTACGAAGCTACGAGAATACTTTTTGTGCGCAAAGAAAACAATAATAACAATTTATTATGCAATTCTTCTCCCCGAGTTACCGTCTTTTGGAGAGTACGCCAAAACGTAATCAACACAATCAGCGTTGTTTACATTCGGTAGACAGTGTGCGCATGCTGAACGTAAACAATGCTGATTCCGTTTTGGGGTACTCTCCAAAAGACCAAAAGACGGTAACTCGGGGAGAAGAATTGCTTCTCAGAGACATCAGAGAGCTCTCAGATTCCATCAAACGTATCTTAAGTTTGTGTTCATTTTTTTAAGATATCTGCCAAATTTTCTTATCAGGCCGATACAGATAACAGAAAAAATTAGCATTTATCGGCCGATACCGATATGGTGGCCGATATATCGTGCATCCCTATATATATATATATATACACTGTAATATATACACTTTCCACACTGCTCTCCTGCCTCTGTCTCTCACACACACTTCAAACAGACGGCTCCTGAAGACAGCTAAGTGGATTACATATTCAGCAGGTGTCCTTTTATGTCATGGGTCATGTGGACCAATAGATTGGCATTGTTTCACACCTGCTTCAGACACCAGTCATGCAGGCTGCATTCCCCAGTGTCTCGTTCCCTCTCAGGGAACCATGGTTACATGCTTAACCCGAGACATTTTCCGCTTGTTTATTTATTATATAAAAATTAAATACTCGCAACACAACTAAATACAAAAACATGCTGCAAAAACAGAAACTCACTGCAAATACAACACAACCAAATTTGAAAACATGCTGCAAATACTCGCAACACAACTAAATACAAAAACATGCTGCAAAAACAGAAACTCACTGCAAATACAACACAACCAAATTTGAAAACATGCTGCAAATACTCGCAACACAACTAAATACAAAAACATGCTGCAAAAACAGAAATGTGCGGCACATACTCACAATACAACCAAATATAGAAATGTGCTGCAAAAACTCTCAACACAACCAAATACAGGAATGCGCTGCAAATACTCACAATACAACCAAATACAGGAATGTGCGGCAAATACTCACAATACAACCAAATATAGAAATGTGCTGCAAAAACTCACACAATACAATACAACCAAATACAGGAATGCGCTGCAAATACGCACAGACCACAACGGAACCTTACGGAAATTAACTATGGTTTTACTATATAAAAAAAAACATGGTAACCACAAATTAATTTATAATAAAACTGTGGTTATACAAATGGTAGTAAATAGGTAAATAAATTTTTCTTACAGTAAAACCATGGTTAATTTTTGTAAGGGAAGTTGCAAAAGTAAGTTAGCCAGCTTACATAATGTTTCACATTTATAGTAATAAATTGTGTATTGTGTATATTGTCAGTTTATTTAGGCTAATAATATCCAAAAAAGCTAATGAATCATATGATCAGAATGTTAAAATAAGCAAAAATCTCACCTTTCAGAGTAGACATTGATAAGCATGTCCCAGGTTCGTCACTTGATGCAGTTCCCTTAAACATTTCCGATCTGGTATGTGCATATTTGCAGCGTGTTTCTGTATTTGTTCGTGTTGTGCGTATTTGCAGTGTGTTTCTGTATTTTGTGGCATTATGGGTATTTGCAGCGCATTTCTGTATTTGGTTATGTTGTGAGTATTTGCAGTGCGTTTCTGTATTTAATTGTGTTGAGAGTATTTGCAGCGCGTTTCTGTATTTGGTTGTGAGTATTTGCAGCGCGTTCCTGTATTTGGTTGGGAGTATTTGCAGCGCGTTCCTGTATTTGTTTGTGAGTATTTGCGGCACGTTTCTGTATTTGGTTGCGAGTATTTGCAGTGCATTTCTGTATTTGGTTGTGAGTATTTGCAGCGCGTTTCTGTATTTGGTTGTGTTGAGTATTTGCAGTGCGTTTCTGTATTTGTTTGTGAGTATTTGCAGCGCGTTCCTGTATTTGTTTGTGAGTATTTGCAGCACGTTTCTGTATTTGTTTGTGAGTATTTGCAGCACGTTTCTGTATTTGATGGCGAGTATTTGCAGCGTGTTTCTGTATTTGGTTGTGAGTATTTGCAGCGTGTTTTTGTATTTGGTTGTGAGTATTTGCAGCGCGTTTCTGTATTTGGTTGTGAGTAATTGCAGTGCGTTTTTGTATTTGGTTGTGAGTATTTGCAGCGCGTTTCTGTATTTGGTTGTGAGTAATTGCAGTGCGTTTTTGTATTTGGTTGTGAGTATTTGTAGCGCGTTTCTGTATTTGGTTGTGTTGTGTGTATTTGCAGTGCGTTTTTGTATTTGGTTATGAGTATTTGCAGCGCGTTTCTGTATTTGGTTGTGTTGCGAGTATTTACAGTGCGTTTTTGTATTTGGCTGTGAGTATTTACAGTGCGTTTTTGTATTTGGCTGTGAGTATTTGCAGCGCATTTCTGTATTTGGTTGTGAGTATTTGCAGCGCG